GGAGCTGCTGACAACTCTTTTCAAAACTTCCTTATTTTCGCTCTAATACTGCGACAATTGTGTCCAGTAGTCTTTGCCCTTTGTAGAGGTTTGTTTTAATCTGAACTAGTTCTGTTACTTGAGTCCTGTTCCACTGTAAATCAGTCTCTTTACTTGGTTCCAGATCAAGTGTTTGGTTCCAATCTCACCAGCTTGTGTCAAAGAGAAAACAGCACGGTGCCAAAGTTCGTGAAGCTGTGCATTGAGCATGTTGAGGAACATGGTATGGTTGAAGTTTTTTGTTTCCGAATCTCTCTTGCTCACCACACTATCTAATTTTGAACATTTTAATCCTTAAAATGCTGTAGATTTATTTGGGGAAAATAATCTGAAACCTGTATCTGTAGCTAACAATGAGTTTTCAAGAGTGGGGAGGTATGTGGGATCCAAAATGGAGAGGGTAGAAGAAATCTTATATCTGAGAAATTTATCTGCTTCCGTATATTTCAAGCTGAGTAGAAGGCAGAATAGCCTCCTGGCAGCAAGGCTCTAAGGAAAGAGGGATTACAAGAAGTAATAGAAGAGCTCAGACCATCAAGGCTTTTTTCAGATGAAAAGAGAGACTGTCAAAACGCGACCATTCACTTTTGGAAGGTTTAAGCATGCTAACAATTGTTATTAGTAAAACTTCCTTGAAACCAACTTCTAGGAAAAAGTTGTGTTCCTGCTCTGTGTATGTGTTGACTGCCAGAACATAAGTCTATCTATTTGATGCCCTTCAGCTGGTTACACTGATTGCTATGTGAAGTTTTAGGCAATTGACTCAATTTTTGTTTACCTTCATAGAAAATAAGTGTCTCCTACCTAATAACTGAGAAAATTATATGTTTGAAAGCTACCTGTGACATTCTGTGTTGTCTGATGTAAAGAGCATCTTCCTGTTTTTCTTGAAAATATGTTGGTTGTGACTCCTGACTTGGCTGTAGTCCGTGCTTGTTTTCTTGCTTGTTTCTTGCTGTTGTCATTGCCCTGTCTCTTGGAAAAGATGACTGAGAGGGGATTATGGAATCTCCATAATCATCATTCAAATATATACCAGTCTGTTAATCTGAGAATGTTCTCTTAAGAATCAGGGTAAGTGTAACAGGAGAATACTACATGTGAATTTTAAGGCATCTTTCATGGGAACTTAATTTAGGATTTTTTTGTCAATCTGTGTTCCTCTTTCTCAATGCTGCTATCTTACAGCCTGGGAGGGGAGAAATAACTGCTTCCATTGCCTTATTGCAGTTCAACAAACTGCCACCTTGCTTGTAACAGCAGGCTTTATTCCGTCTCTGATCTGCAGTTTGTGAGAAAGGGGTTATTTTGCTTTGTTCTTCCTTTTTTTTTTTTTTATTTCTTTTTTTGTATTTTAAAGACAGGACTGCAGTGAAGATAGTGGTGAAGTTTTCCTTTTTTAAATACCTGAGGGGAAGCTGACAGAAATGAACAGGTTTTTTTCCTACTTCTCCAACTCTTCTTCCTACTGCAAATACACTTCAGATCAGTTCTTTCTGTAAAGGAATCACTAGTGGATTAAGGGGAAAAGGGATATGTCAGATGGTGCTGGTAACTGTGCTGTGTTGCATCAGACAACTCCTTGAGGAGCGACAGGGACCTGCAGGTATTCTGGCAACACTCATCCTCTCAGTGGCACTGACTCACATGCTGCATTTAAGTGGTGTTTCAGTTAAACTCTACCTCCTAATCACCTCTGAGTAACTGCAGTAGCAACCACCGACACACAGTTTTCCTCTTTCCTAGTTGTGTGTGCAATGCTGTCAAGGCAAGGGCTACCCATTGTAGTTCTGAAGGCTGTTGGGTAGTGATGAGTCTGCATGCACATCATTCCTTCTCCATGCAAACCTAGTCACGTGACAACTTTGAGATTCTCTCTATGCATGACTTGATTTGATTTTTCTTAACCATACATTAAAAAACATGAACATCCACAAAATACTTGGTTCTTGCATGTTGCCCTGCCCACCCACCAAGGGTATCTTAAACGAGACACCTAGTCTCATTGGGGAAACTTGGAGCTGTTGCCTCATGACTGCTGTTCTACTGTGTAGGAAGTTTTAGAGATTACCTGGAGCTTGGCACTGCCCAACCTGTGTCAGCAAACTAAACATCCTCTGATATGCCCTGCCTGTGAAAAAAGTTAGTTTACCTTTTTTTTTTGAACCAAATGTTCTTTGTTACAAGGTGGGTTTCTTTTGTTTTAATATTGCTGAGTAGACCTATAAAGAAGCAGCCTAATGGTTTCAGAATTCGTATGTGTGTAAGGTATTGAAATGTATTTATCTTTTTTTTTAGGATTAGATGTTGACGGCTTATACCGAGTTAGTGGCAATCTTGCAGTGATACAGAAGCTAAGATTTGCAGTCAATCATGGTAAGCTCCCTTCAACTGTATTACAATTGCATATATTTTCAGATTGTTGAAGTTCATAGAAAGCTAAGGAAAAAAAAATCTATCTAATGTATAATTGCAGTCATTCATGAGAAATGATTGTTATCTCCAAAGTAAAATTACTTCAGAATTGCAGAATTTAGTGTGTAATATACATCATCTGAAAAACCTAGCGTCCTGGAGGTTTGGTCTTACGTGGAGCATAGAGACATTGCTGGAACATAATTCTAAAGAAAGGTGGTAATAGAATCTGAGGGGTAGGGGAATTATTTCAAACAAAATAACTGCATACCTTATGGAAAAACAAGCATATTAAGCTTCCACTGCCTTTAAAATTGTAAATTGATGCTTTTTAGCGAGATTCGCTACTGCCTTTTAGTACGGGGGTGCTTAGCTCCTCTTCGCCATACTCTGTGTACAAAACCCTTTCGTGTGGCCGTATCTTAGTGTTTTGTTCAGTGGGATTCAATAGACAACTTGCACCTAGGAAGATAACAATAGCCCATGTACAATCTGACCTCTCATTTCCTGATTGACAGGGTCTAACAATAAATTTTGTGTTATGCCAGCAGCTTCTGTTCCCCTCTGGAAAATGCCCTTGGTGTAGGGAAGCAGCATGTAGTGCAGTAGACAGGGTTTGGCCGTCCGTGTCTGTAGTGGTTGAGTTTTGGTGTCCCCTTTTACTGCTGCAGCTCAAATGGCCTGAAGTGGGGTAACCGTCTTCACTGCTTTAAAAGCAGTGAGTACAGAAGAGTAGTTAAGTTTATTTAAAAAAAAAAAAAAGCTTTTCTAGTTAAATTATTAACATGAATTATTATTTTTTCTCTTTCAGATGAGAAACTAGACTTGAATGACAGTAAATGGGAAGATATACATGTCATCACAGGAGCTCTGAAGATGTTTTTCAGAGAATTGCCAGAGCCGCTGTTCACTTATAATCACTTCAATGACTTTGTCAATGCAATTAGTAAGTCCGGAAAACATGCATGTGCTTTTTGTACAAGTTCTGCTCAGTGTGTACAAGTCACTTCGTTATTTTGGACAGTAAAAAGAACGGTTTTGGTTACAAGGTCTGCAAGGCTTACCCGAAACTGCCCGTCAGGAATGCACGCTCCGGTCAGGAGGTGGCAGTGTTTTATCTCTTATTAGCGCTGCAAAACGTTCGCTTTTATTCCCAGTCTGTTGAATTTTGTGCTGAAGTTTTAGAACAAAAATACTGAACTTTTGTTTCTATGCCTCATCCTTTTGCAGAGCAAGAGCCAAGGCAGCGTGTCCATGCTGTTAAAGATTTAATCAAACAATTGCCAAAACCAAATCAAGACACTATGCAGGTACTCTTTAGGCACCTGAAGAGGTAAGTAGCAGACAGAAGGAAAGGCTTTGTATTGCTGATCCTCTCTTAACGCCAGATAATCCAATTAAAACTACTAGGTGGCTGTTCCCACTGCATTTTTCTTGCCTGTATTGAACTTGATGAAAACAGTGTGTCAGTCTGTTTTTACAGAAGCTTGCAGTGCACTCAGCAGACTTTAGACAGTGTGTGTCATAGTTGTGATGTTTACTGACAAGTCCCTATGTTCAAGGGATTGTGAGAGGATCAGGAATAGCATTTCAAAACAAAACTCTTCTTTAGAGAGGGGAATTACAGCAGCTGTATGTCCTAATAACAAGACTACTCATTAAATAAATACTGTGAATAGTCATTTGCTTTGGCCTATGTCTTTTTCCTGTCATCATATTACTCTAGCACTGCTAAGTCCCTTTTTTTTTTTTCTTTCAGAGTTGTAGAAAATGGAGAAAAGAACCGAATGACCTATCAAAGTGTAGCAATAGTTTTTGGTCCAACCTTATTAAAGCCAGAGAAAGAGACTGGTAACATAGCAGTCCACACAGTATACCAGAATCAGATTGTAGAATTAATTCTACTGGAATTGAATTCCATCTTTGGACGCTGACATTTTTCTTGGAGTACAAACTGGAAGTGATGGGTTGGCAGCAGTGCTCCATCAGAAGGAAAATCTCTCGCTGTACATGATGCATGATGTTTGTGGACCAAGCAGCAACTTGTTTTTTGCACTTTTATGGAGGGGAGAAAGAGGAGAAATGTTTCACCACTTTAATGCGAATTTAAGTCAACATTTTGGATTTGTTTGAAAAGTTCAATGTAAAAAGCGAATTGCGAAGTTTATAGTTTGCCTTTTTTAAAGTAGCATTGGAAAAATGTAATATAGGTTCATACACTGGATTTCTTGGAGAGTAAAGCTATTAATCTCAAACTGGATAATCTGGAATTTAATCTTAAAATTCTTCCACTTGATAGGGGAAAGTCTTGACAACTGATGTGGAAAAAGTCAGTGAAGATACATCGTAAGCTTATGTATTACAACCTACTCAGATCTGTATGACGCTTTTCCAAAGGGTTTCTGCATGCAGTGACTGTCTTAAACTTGTTTAATTTAACAGTTTGGTTTAGTTACTCAAATCTAATTCCTCACTTGATATCTGCTGTCCTTTCTCTCCCCTCCCCCCACCTCCCTTTCTTTTTTTATTTTCTTTTCTTTTCCTTCTTTCTTTCTTTCCTTTTTTCCCCAGCAACCTTTCTGGAACTTCCTAGTCGCTTTATGAAACAGCACACTATTTCAAAAACTGAACTTGCAAGAATATCCAGCAATGGATATTTGTCTTGTGGCATAATAGAAGTCATATTTAATAAACCTGTCATGTTTTCAGGGTATTTCCTGAGCTAAGTTTTGTGTTATACTGATTTAAAGCTAAAATCCTAAGTAAATACCAACTGTAACACTGTATTGAGTTCTTGGTATAATACTGTGGTAGTGGATGTTTCCTGATGTAAATACAGGCTGTCCTTTTGATTCTTGTATATAATTCAGTTCCTGTATAGTTTAAAAATACTTTAGTCACAATTCTAATGATGGGTAGTTTAGCTACAGTAGCATAATGTTTCCAGTGGATGTCTGGGTTTCAGCAGGGAAACAGGTTATGGGGAGGGAGGGGGGACCTAACTGTGTGCACTTTTAGATGTTAATTACATTTGCGGGCAAATAACTGTAATGCAAATGGTACTGGAGAAATACTGAGTATGCTTGCTAAATTGTTAATGCACTACAAGAGGAGCCTTTTAGGTTATTTAATATGTACAGGATACATTAGAAAAATGTATTATGAATTCTAACATCTACAAATAGTGAAACTCGTGTTTTGATAGATAGATGTTTGATGGAATCCATGATGCTAAACTTAAGAATTTCTTTTTACATTAATGTAGAAAAATTTGTAAAATTGTTTTTGAAAGATTTTGTTACAGGGAGCATGGTCTGCTGAAGATTTTTTTAAATGTATTTTTCTAGACTAACTGCTGTATCTGACATTTGTTATGTCTAACCTGAATAAAGAAAACCGTTAGTTCTTTTAGAGTTCGCTATTCCTGCTCCAGACAACATGAATCCCCTTTTAACAGTAAGACCGAGGTATCTTATGGCTTAGCATGGATACTACTTGTGACAAAGCGTTGTCACAATGGATTAAAGGACAAATGCTTACTTTATAACCTGACAGTTTTAGGAACTTCCCAGTCCCTTTCTTTAACAACTTAAGTTCTAACATAAGGTTCAGAGAGGGCAGAAGTAATTTATAGATATAAATTTGTGTTCTTCAAAATACATCCCAGCTTACTTGGAACCTACTGTACAGAAAGCAGATACGTTGGGAAACAATTGTATTTCGCCCTTGATCTGTTGTGTACGTTTCACAACACAGTTCTGGCTTACAGCAAAGGGGATGTGTGGTGAAGTACTGAGGTGTAATCAGACAAACGGTACGAGAATTTCATGGACATAGGGCTTGTATGAAGAGTCTTCAGAGATAAAAGAGAAGATGAGTTACCTTGTGGCTTTCTCACTGTCTTCTTGTGGTAATGGTGAAGTCTTGTGGTTTGTTGCAAAGCAACCTGGGTGAGAACTGTGATAGCTCCATCTCAGTGTTGTGTTGTCAGCCTCCTGGTAGGCTGTCAAACTGGAGCAGTGCTGAGTGGCAGGTGTGCCCCAAGCTACTAGAAAGTATCAACAAAGTTGAAATCTGTTCCTGTAGATTATTCAAATCCCAATGTCAGCTGTAAAACAAAAAAGAATTCCCACTGCAAAATGAGAGGGCTTATCCACAGGTCACCTTTTCTGTACGAGTGTTAATGTTTTTCAAAGAAAGAATGCCTTTTTAAAACAATTTGCTAATAAGGATGTCACGCTTTTCCTTGTATTTCCCTAAAATAAAGGATTTTGTTATTACAATATGTAGTATGGTTTTGTGCGGAGAAATTATCGTAAGTTTTAATGTTCTCATTTTTAGCTTGGGGAGGGGAAAGTGTTCTTCTTAACTGAAAGAGGTGTAGCTAAACTCTTGAAACATTCAGGAAGAGGAGGCTGTCCAAGCTGACAGTATGCTGCTTGTGACTGACTGGAAACTGTGTGTGTCAGCACGTTGTGTTTCTTCACTACTTGAAATACCGTGTCCTGCTCCCGCAGTTAGCTTTATTTTAAAAAATCAAAACCATATTTTTGCACAAACACAGCAGGGGAAAGCTATTTGTATTAGATGAAACATAATTAAATTTATGTATTCCTCAGTTTAAGCTTTAAATCAGATTTAGTTCTGATTTAAAACCAATTTAAAGACTAAATATAAATTTAAGCCATAACCACTCAAAGATACTGGAGGTCCAACATTATGTATTGATGCCGGCTGAAATTTTATTCCAGCACTAGAGCTGTGTTCAGCTGCGCAGCGTTAGTACCAAGCAACTCTCAGACGTGCTTGATCTATGCCAGTCACAGGTTTCTTCAGTTTAAAGCTGGAGAGAGAAGCGGACACAAAAAAAGACAAGGGAAATACACACAGCCATTTCATGTAAACTAATTTCTTTAAATCAGAGTTGCATGCTAACAAAGCTTCCTGCGTGCAAGTGGATAGGTCACGCTTACTGCCCAGGCCCAGACTTTCCTCTCCATCTTCACAGAAAGCCACGATAAATTCTTTGTGCTGAACCTGTTGTATCCCAGCAAGTGAATCCTCGACCTGCAGTGTGGGGGAGTAGGGGATTCGTAGGGATTACGGTATCGGTTTATTCCTACGTGAAGCCCTGATTTTTTGCCTTGAAGGGAACAACTCTACTTAGGCCCAAAGTAATGATATTTTCAGAATCAATTGGTTAATTCATAAGCCATAACGTAAACTGAGCACAGAGGGGCATTCTGCTGGGCGAGGGGGGAGGTACAGCATGTCTAATGAGGCCTTCTGCAACCCCTGGCAGGAGGAGAGCTCCTCTGAAGAATCTTAATTAGCCTCCACAATTGCAAAGTTTTGTGGGCAAGCAGCTGGTAGGACTGGATCAGACCTTTACAAAAGTAGCCCTATGTGATTGTGGGACTTAAATGAACATTCCCCCCTGCCCCCCCCAGCATTCTTGTAAACAGAGCGCTTGTAAAACAAGATCACACTGTGTAACAAACCAACATGAAAGACATTCAGAGGCGAATTGGCCTCTTGGTCCTATTTATTGCCTTGAGAATTAAATGGCAGCTCTAATATTAAAGTTTCCTACAACTTCCCTAAATGGATTCGAGTTTGTCAAGGTACTTATCTACTACTTTCTTTCAAAAAGAAGAAAATGTTGCGTTCAGCAAACTCAGACTGTTAAGTGGAACAAGCCTGGATAGCATCAGGTTTATTTCTTGTAGAGCCTCATCTTGCAGCATATGGCACTAAATGAATTGGCTTGGGAAGGGGACAGCGGATCCGTAGTGTGGGAATAAGTAAATGCAAAGCACTGAAGGCAACCAGACAAAGCAGGTGTGATGGACAAGCAAGATAGCAAAGAAACAGTCACTTAGAAAATCTGCAGGAATCCAGGCCAAGAGACCTGGGAGAAAGACCGACGAAAGTGTGGTGGTTGTTTTTTTTTTTCTTTCTTTTCTCTTACAAATGAAGGCCTGGCTATGTTTTATAATGGTAAGTTGCTCTGTAAACAGGTGGAGTTCAAGTGATGTTGCAAATTGGCAGTTCTCACCTTTTCTCTGGACTTTTTCAGAGCAGCTTCTATGTTTCAGGCCTCAGTGATGAGCTTGTGTCCAGGTTCACTCGATGCAAACACCTGAGTGCTAATGGGAGTCAAGAACTATCTTCCTTCAACATAACTGTGAATGCACAACCAGCACCTGTGAAATACAAAAATAAACTTGTACTCAGTTTGGCAGCATTATTCTGGTGGCACCGAGTGTCCCATCCGAGACCCGAACCATGTGGCACCAGATCCTGAAATGCACTGGAGCCCTGTCTGTTACAATCTCAGCACGTCAGAAGAAAGAAATGTGTGAAGCTGAGAAGTGGGAGTATGCAGAAAAAAATAAACCCCCAAGCTAACCCGTTTTCACAACCAGTTTAGGTTTGCATGAATGGTACAAATCTGCCTAGAATAGTTTGTTTATTCATAGTGTGAAAGAAACAGCTGTGCTCTAAAAAGATAAATACTGTAATTAAAAGCTGTCATTTTTTACATCAGGCATTGGAAGATAAATGTTAAGCGTTGATCAGCTTGTCTGGTTCATCGTGTGCTGTGGCCAAATGGCTGGAATTGAAGCGCTGGTGGTGTGTTCCCTGGGCACTGATGTGCCCGTGCTCTCTGCCTTTTCTTTACCAAGAGGGTGATGCTGAGCTGGTGGGGGCTTGTTGACTTTCTGCATAGAATCATAGAATGGTTTGGGTTGGAAGGGACCTTAAAGATCATCTAATTCCAACCCCCCTGCCATGAGCAGAGAAATCCTCCACTACACCAGGTTGCCCAAACCATGTGAGTGCCCTGCCTTGCTACTCGTTCCAACAAAAGGAGGAGGTACCTAACCTAGAAACAGAACTGAAAACCACCTTTTTTTCAAGAAAACCTTTCTTATCAGCCTGGGCTGGGCAGAGCTTTGTCTGCAGGCGCTTCTGCTGCCCAGTGCTGCCAAGTGAGCACGTCTTCTGTGGGTGCTGGCCTTGGCAAGGCCCTGCCAACACACAAGCATGACCCACTCAACTTCACGGCTTTCTTCTGTGAAGAAAAACAGAGACATGGTTGTGCAAGAGATAGAGCCTCTCCTCTGGCACTCCCTTAAAGCATTATGGATGATGAAGGATGCCCCCATATTTCCCGCTGTTTCATAGCTGAAGAGCTGTTCTCACCAACATGC